TAGTAAAGAAATATCTTGTGCTGCAATAGTACTGTACGTAGCTTTTGGTGGACAAGAAGGTGAATAGTATAAATATTTGTGTTTTTTCTCTCTTCTCTCTACTCTTTCTAATTATGTTTGAAGTTTTATTTGATAATATTATTTGCAACATTTCCATTGACCACATTCTGATTTTATAGCAAAAAAATTGATCATTACTTTCAACAACTAATTCACCCTCTTTTAGTTGTCATCTAATACTTACATATACCACATAATTTTCTTTTCCTTGGATAGCATATTGTTGCGTCCTAATTTTCAGTCGAAATCCGGCTCTCCGACTTAACAAGAGGTGAACTCGATGTCGGCATCTCCAAAAATATTTGGAGTCGTCACTACGTATTTTACGGTTAAAATGTAGAAAACCTTTTTTCATGCCCAACAAGATATAATGGTCTTTGAACCTTGGTTATGATCTCATAAGTCAATTACGGATCAGAGAAGATGTTAACACCTCACCCTCAATTAATAAAATGTTACCCTAGCTACGAGCATGAACTTTTATACCCTTAGTCTATTTTAAATTTTAATTACTTCAACAAAATATATATTTTATTTTTGAGTGTGACAAGAGATGTCTAGCTTGTAAGGACCCAAATTCTACCCTTAAATTTTTTTCCTTATTTTATTCTTTTCACATACATTTTCTTATAAGTTATGATCACAAAATCAACAACCTTGTTTTAATCACTCTTTCCTATTCATATTCATTCCATAACGCAATATCCACGTACACATTCATTTAACAGAAAATCATAATTCATATTAGTATATCCCAATAACCATTGCATACAACTAGCTATGGGTTTCCAAAATACTCATAGCTACAAATATCCAGAGTTACAATTATCCAAAAATTATAAGGATCATAGTTACAAATACTTAAATCCGCAAATATTCAATCATGATACAAAAAGGTGCAAATAAAGGAATCCAGATTTAAAAGCTCCTACATCTCCAAATCAAGCGTCCTTAACTTATCCAATTACCTGCAATGGGATTATCAAATGGCCACACACAAAACGTATAAAGGAGTAAGTCATTTTATTCAATAAATATCATTTTCTATAATCCACATTTAAACATAGTTAGATAAACATTTTAAGCATTCCAACATAAAGTCATTACGTTTCGTTTTACATCTTACTACATCATATGACCATTCTTACTTCCACTTTCTTCCATGTCAAACCTTGTTACCTTCTTCTTCATTCCTGTGTTACGTAGCCATTTCCCACTTACACGTACTTCCACAATACCACATAGGGCAAGACATTCGATTCACTACCACTTGGGCAAGACGTTCAATTCAATAACACTTTGGGCAAGACATTCAATTCAATACCACTTGGGCAAGACATTCAATTCAATGCCACTTTGGGCAAGTCATTCAATTCAATGCCACTTTGGGCAAGTCATTCAATTCAATACCACTAAGGCAAGACATTCAATTCAATACCACTAAGGCAAGACATACAACTCAATACCACTTGGGGCAAGACATACAATTCAATACCACTTGGGGCAAGACATACAACTCAATACCACTTGGGGCAAGACATACCATTTGGGCTGAGGCATGAGAAGGTGTCTCATTTGTTGTGTGTCACGCCCCAATCTTTTGCTACGTAACCTCTTTCGGAGTCACCACCATGTTTTTGCAGTTAAAACATGGAAAACTCAATTTAAGTCCAAATTGGATAAAATGGTATTTTTAGTCAGAGTTATGGATTCAGGAGTTGATTAAGGATCAAGGAAGATATTAGCACCCCGTCCGCCCGTATTAAACGGTACCCTCGCTAATAACATGGACTCTTATACCCTTAATATTAAATTGTTTACAACAAAATATTTATTTTTTATTTTTTTGTCTGACAAGAATTAATCTTCCTTCTACATATCCCTAAATGCTTTAGGAAATCAAGATCACGTAGTTCTTTGCTTAAAATGATTTGTTGGTTGATATAAAAATTATCTCTTTAAAAAGGGTTAAACAGTAGAAACTAATGTTCGCGCCACATCTCATCTTAAAGAGCATTGAAAATATTATCCCTTAAGAAGGGTGAAGCAGCAGAAGCTAATGTCCGCACCGCATCCCATCTCAAGGAGATATTTGAAAATAATTATAATATTTTTTATTGTTAATTTAGGAATTAAGCTAATGAATAAAAGTATCGTAACACGACCATTCGAAGATGATATGAGGATGAGAAGTCTTACCACGACCCTCGTCCATCTTTGATTAAATTCGCAAAAAGTGATAAATTTTATATAAGCATTGATAAAAATTGATTGTTTCAAAAAAATACTGTTGTTAATAAAATGATGCATATTTATTATTACTGATGAGTTACATAATAAATTTTTTTATTTATATTTTGTTGTAGCGACTATCATTATAAAATTATTAATGTGATTAGTATTAAAAATAATTGTTACTATAAACATAAAAAATAGAATTATTTTTATATATAGATTTGAATTAGTAATATCATTTTCTACAAATATAAGAGTTGACTAAAAACTAACAGTATACATAAGCTTTATTATTTTCCATTTATTTGGTTGATGGTTTCGTTGTTTAATATGAGAAGAAGGAAACTCATATATTACATAGTACTACTCTTTTTCAATAAAATAATTAATTACATGGCCACAAAAAGCTAACCAGTGAGAGGATAAAATATGAATAAGGCTTGATATTTTTATTAATAAGTTAACATTATTCCTTTTCCTTATTGTTAAAAAATAAGAAACTAAAAAACAAAAACAAAACAATGGAGAAAGGGGGGTAATACTTGTAGATTGGGGTATATGTGGGGAATCGGGTGCCCAAACAGGTCAATGTTAGGACAAATTCTACTACTATATATAATCTTTCTTCTGAAATTATAAAGGGAGAGACAAATATGTATATGAAGAAAGAGATAGGAGTGATAGATGATATGCGTGTGTTGTGCATGGGGATTTGAAGGTTGTTGAGTATGAGGGATTTGCTGAATTGTCTTCTCCTTTGGAATAGTTGAATGTGGTCTATATTTATATTAAATAGGGAAAGGCACATGTGCATAATATGAGGGAATCCTACCATATTGCCAGTCGCGTAGGAGTAGTCTGGGAACCTTCAAAAACCTTCCCCTTCAGTCCGTCCTACCGTTACTCATTTCCCTAAAATGTTCAGATTCCACCTCTGTCACTGCGTACGTTTCCAATTTATTGGCACTGGTTGGTCTCCTACTATATCCGCTTCCTTTAGTCTTCACCTTTAGATAAGATAACAAAAAGTGTCCGTTTATTTAGGCATCTTAACTATTCAAAAGCTTCCTTCTCCTTGCTATGGTTACGACAATCTTAGGGGTCAAGCTTCATGGCGTATGTCCGTCTAATCCATGTATGTCTAACGCTAATTTCTGCTCCAAGTAGGGGGGCAAAGCAGGTCCTATGGTTAGTGGCTTAGGGGCATTCTTTTTTTCATAATTGGGCTTAATAAACTTTAACAAACTTCCAGATCTGTTACGCGATTGCTGTTCAGCCGGGCAGGAACTCTTGGTCCGAGGAAGGGGCCGACTTTCTTCTCGCTCCTCTCCTTTCAGTCGAGTGGCTATCGCTCCTCTCCTTTCATTCGAGTGGCTATCGCTCCTCTTTTGGCTTAAGAAAGATGGGGTGAGAATGAGGATCACTTCGGAACTCTAGGAAAATGGGCGTTTTAGGGCGGGATCTAAAAGTTCTCGTGTTGGTTGTGGAGCCTTCAAAAAGGTCGTGAGAGGGTCTTTTTTTGGCTTCCTCAGGGCCGTGTGAAGCTTAGCTTGCTTTAGCAGCCACATGATGATTCAAGATTCGTGGTAGGCGTAGGAGCTGGGCGAGGCGGTAGCGAAGCTCAGGTGGTGATGCAAGTACGCGGTGAGCGTAGTAGCCCCTCGGGCATGCTCTTTGTAAAACCAAGCGAAGAGCTAGTGATGGCCAGAATGGAATATCGTATGTAGTGTAGAATCGGATCTGAAGCTCTTTACTAGGATTGGAACAAGCGAGGAACGAGTGACCACAAGCTCCGGCGCTCGACATGAAGTTAGCTTAAAACATGTTCATCATGTGCAAAGAAAGAGAAAAGGGGCGAAGTGCACCTGCGTGAAGCAGCCTAGCATCACTTTAGATAGGAGCAGAATGGATGACTTACAACTGAAAGTTCTTCGGATCGATATCTCGTACGACATAATGGAGATCTTGGTCTAGGTCCGGTGGTTTGCAGAATTCGGGACCTAACGATGTTCGATTTGTCACATGAACGGGAGCGGACGATTCCCTCGTCTCTCCCGTTCATGTTTCAGGGAATGGCTGCAATCACAAGCAAGTGATTGAATGAGTGGGGGGCTCCGAAAGCACATGCGGGATAAGCATGTCTTTCAGGAGACAGTCTAGAAAGAAAAGAGAACTCTCAACAAGCTGGAACTAATCAAGATCAATAGGAAGAGGAGTTAGCTATAAATGAATTTTTTGACAAAGTTCATGCCACGACGATCTATACTATATGGAAGAGCTTGTTGATGCATTCCTGTTGAAGTTGAAAAAGAGACAAACATGAGTCTTTTATTCCTCCTCTCGGATCTGCTTGGATTATCTTATAATAAAAGAAGAGGAGTTAGCTATTCTTAGGAAATGACTGAACTTAAAAGAAAGATGCCACACCCTTTCATTAGGAGGCGAGGGAGTAACTTGTCTGATCTTGCGGTGCACTCACTCCTGTTACGAGAATGAAATGACGCCCCAGCTCGACTCGAGACAAAGACTCCTTACAACTCGCACCAATAGTGAGCGGCCGAAGATTGATTGAAAAGGCAGCCGCCCCTCCCCCCTAGCCGCCTACCTACTCGTGCTCATAACTCGATCGGAGGTGAAGACTTTTGTCCAGCGGAAAAAGAAAAGTCGTCCGTATCAAGTGATATGTTAATTGCTCAATAGTGCTTCGCCGCTACCGTAGCTGGTGGAAATAGCTTAATGGTAGAGCATAGCCTTGCCAAGGCTGAGGTTGAGGGTTCAAGTCCCTCCTTCCGCTCTTGGCTTCGTCGTTTAGTGGTAACGAGTAGAGTAGGCATCGCCTCTCGATCCAATCCGTCTTTCCCTGGCCTCCCCAACACACTCTTGATACTAAAGAAACCTCCCGCCAATCGGAATCAGAATCGGAATCAGATTCGGGAAGAGAAGAAAAAGATCTAAAGTTTGGGCATCATCCCCTCGATCACCCTTCCCTTGAACCGGAACTGGTCGAAAAAGATGAACCTGCACCACATTTTATAACCTTCGAACCGAAAGCCCCAACTAGAGATGGAATTCCATAACCTAAAAAAGTAAATTGAGAGCTCTCGGTTCAATTCAAGGGAAGGTCCACCAATAATGGAAAGGCCATTCCCCTCCCTATCCCTCTCTTGATCCCTCATTCCATGAATTAGTTTTTACTGATTCATTCAAGGACTGAAAGCTTTTCGTTTTATGAAAAGGCATAGACTTCCCACTTATTTCTCTTATTAGCACATGTGTTCGTCAACGATGAAAGCCGCTTAACTTAAGATAAGACTCGAGTTGAGAAAGAGGGCTAGGCCAACGATAGGAGGGCTTTCAGGAACTAGGGAGGGTGGATTATAGAGCTAGGGGCGGATCAGAGGTTTGTCCATTGCGATTGGGCATGGACGAGCCTCGACTGTGCCAGCATTGATGAAAAAAAATACTTCTCCCATCGCATGATTAACCGGTGTAGGATTAAAGATCAGGTCCAGGATTCGAGTCAAATCGACCTTCCCTCTCATCTTAGGGTGAGGCAAGGTAGCTTGCTCAAATGTTCGTTGTTCAATATCTCGACTGCTCAATTGGACTAGCTGCTCCCATTCCTCAAATAAACCTAGGAGTGGACTCCCTTCTAGGGGAAGGGCATAGCCTCACCTTGCAGTATGAAGGTTTTCGTTGCTGGGACGGGTTCAAACTGAAGGGAGGAGGAATGAAAGACTCCGATCTTACTGGGGATTCATCACTGGCTAGGGCTTTCTAATCAAAGAATGGGCATCTGCAACTAAGAGGGAACAATAGATCGTCGATGGAAGAGGCAAGTCAGTCAACTTCTATTGGGACTTCTATTGATTATTGATTCGACTAGAGGGACTCCTAGCAAGAAACTTGTATGACGGGGCCCTATGGAGACGCAGGAGATGCAATAGTGAGATAAATAGCCGGATCGACCAAAAAATGATAGGCCAGAGGGATGGGCTCATTCGACTAATTAGTGATCCTTGGCCCTACCTAACAGAGAGATGTCCCTAAAAAAATAAGAGGGGATTGGTTGATCGGAAAGCTCGGGTAGGAGTAGGACATTCCATAAAAATCTTTCTAATCCGCTAGCTCTCACTCCTTGCCCTATTCGGTCAAGCAGCTTAACTCCTCTCACTATTTTTTCATCGACAGGTAGGGTGAATTCTAAGGTTCCTTATTCCGGTTCCGGTTGTAAAGCGGAACCAGAAGAAGAGGGAGAAAGAATGGGCACAGCCCTACCAGCAGCCCGCATTTTTGACCCGAAAGGAATTGAAAATGAAACAAGAATCTGTGTTCACTATCTATGGAGCGGAGTGACTATCCTGAATCTCCTCTTCCTTATATCCCCCTTGCCTTTTTTTCTTTTTCTCGCCGACAGGTAGTTGACTTGCTTACTTGTTAGAGTAAGGAGAATCCATTTATTTATTTCTGATTGATCTGTAGTTCAAGGGCACTCTTCCTAATCCGAGTTTAAGATAGAATAAGACCCATACGTAGAGTCCCGTCGGCCGGTAAGGGATTTTTTCTATTGATTTTTGATTCCCTTCAATCGAATAGCCTACCTATCGGGCGCCAATAAAAGAAAAAGTTTTCGCACGGGCTCATCATCTGATGCAGAACTTATTTAATAACCACCATCCATCACCAATCACATTCAAACTTATAGATTCCTCGGGTAGCCTCCTCTATAAAGGCATTCAAGCTTCAAAGGCAGGTGAGCCGGGTCAGGAAGGACTTTGACTGCTGGGATGGGGTTGGATCCTACTCGAAGCACTCCACCACGAATAAGAATCTTCGGGTTGGATAGGAAGTAGAGATAGGAACTCCTATCTGTAGGGCAGGCTTTTGAAGACAGAGATGCACTACTCCATCTGGCTTGAAGACCTTTAAGGCCTTTGATGAATTTAAGGGGGAGGTGTGTTTTTTCCTTTTCTCGTGATTGAATGTGGTATCTTTTAAGGTCAAATCCAGCATGATTTTGAATTATTGGATGTAAAAGCTTAGTTATTGCTTAAATTATTGTGTTAATTTGAACACTGAATTGTTGATTTAATTAAACACATGGCCAATGACCTGAATTGTTACACTGCGTGTTGTCTTTTATTACCAAATATTGCACCATCAATTGATATCCTTATACATTAAAACGTTGTGTCCCAACAACATAAATTGAAATTTGAATTTACATTATGAATCAAACTAAGAATTCACAGTGTGACCGGTTTAGCTCATTTAGTCTCAATCACAAACTGGGAATTCCCCATATTTATTGGATTTCTTCATCTTCAATCATGATTGCTTTCAGCCGAGTCCAAAAATAATGATCTTAAAATCAATTGAGTGTCTCCAGCCATAGAATCATGAGATGTATGTAGAAAAATGATTTTTGATAATGCATGATATGCATGAAGTGAACAATTTTTCTTTATTTTTGTACCATGTTACATTGATTTGTATGCAACTTATAACTAAAAATGATGCATGAGATACAAGTAATGTTATTGACTATGCATTCGATTTATGTTGGAATGTATACTAATAATTTTGAAGAATATAATGCTTGTGATTTTTTAGTGCTTTGAAACTCTTAGAAAAATGTAATTTATGAACTATATGACTTTGAATGCATGAAGACTATGGTATATGAGAAGATGCATGCTTTCTTTTGTTTGCTTTTGATGATACTGAATGAGTATATCAACAATAATTAATAAAATGATATCGTGAATTATAATGCATGATATGGTAATACATGAAATGAAATGATTAAATTATTTTTGGATGAACGCATGAGAATTCAAGAATGAATGAGTATATGTATGTCTATTTTTTAAATATGCATGAATGCATAATGATTTTTTTGAATTCGTGAATAAATGAGTAATTGAATGAATGAATGAAAGAATAAATGTTTGAATAGTTTATATGCATGAGTGAATGAATGTTTGAATTATACACTTTTCTATTTTTATGCATGCATGAATGCGTTCTTGTTATGATATGTTTTTTTAGTGAATGTATGCATGAATGAAATATCAAAAAAGGAAAAATGCATCCTCCTTTGGGTAATGGACCCTTTCTTGTAGTGGTTAAGCCATTATCACCATAGATGAAGTGTCACAATGATTTAACATTTGTCATATAGTTCAGGCTAACCTTGGGTAAATGTGAGTTACCCAGGTTTTTTTATTGAAGACTCTTAGGATGACAAATCCTGTTATGAGTACTTTATTTTGGATGCAGATGATATGCCTATGGTGTAAGGATACCCATATGCAATGATATCATATATCATTTGGGCTTGAGATGACAGTTGGGTCATTTTATCTAAGGGATATGAGTCCCAACTTATGGCATGATAAATTATACAATATGCTTCCCAAGTTTTTGATTAGATACACCTGGAAGGTTTTTCGGAATGTTTGAGAAACAATATCCTAAGGTATAGTGCGTGCCTTACAAGCTCTAGACTCCTCATAAGGAGCACAAATTGCATAGGGGTCATAAGTGGGACTTGTAGTCCACATCGATAAGGCCCATGATATATGGCGACAATTTGAGCGATTCATCAAGCTAATACACATGAGACCTAAAGTCCACACCTACAAAGTAAATGCCCTTGGTAATCTAATGTTCGGGTATAGGACATAGGTATATGCACTATGCTAGTGCAATGTATTTCCCTGGGAAGCATACGAATTTAATTTGAAGCATTGCAAAAAAATTATAATAATAAAATAGACAATTGTTTCCCTAAGAAATAAAATTAAATAACCAAATAATTAAAAAGTATAATTAGCCATGCAATTAGTAGTTATGGGTCTGACTCTCTTAAAAAAGTCCCCAATAGAGTCGCCAACTGTCGTGCCCCGATTTTCGGCTACACGACAGTGTTAGAGTCGTCGCAACATTTTATGGTAAAAAATGTAAATTTTTTTTTGGCCCGATCACATTGGGCCTTGGATTTTGATATTCAGGTTTGGGAATCGGTTGCATATTAGAGAATCTATTATCACCCTATCCGTTCATTTTAAATGGTACCTCTTGTAAGGACCTAAATTCTACCCTTGAAAATTTTTCTTTTATTTTAATCCTTCATGCTTAATTTTCCCATGTTACACCAAAAATACATTTCCTTTAACCTATTAATTCATTCATTTCACTAATTATATAATAAATCTAATCATACAACTTCGGTTTCATACCATAATACTCCTAATTGCAGAAAAACATAATTCATATTAAAGTCTCCCGGTAACTACCGCATTCAACTAGCTATGGGTTTCCAAAATACCCATAGCTACAAATATCTGAAGTTACAAACATCCAAATTTACAATTATCCAAGTAGAATTCAATTAGTCATAGTAGAAATTAGAAAAATAATGGAATCTAGGTATTAAGTTCCTAAAGCGTCAAACCAAGCATCCTCAACTATCCCGTTTTCCTGCAATGAGATTATCAATGACAAATACACAAAACATACAAAGGAGTAAGTCATTAATTCAATAAATATCATTAAGCGATAATCCACATTTTAAAGATAGTTAAATAAATTATTTGACATTCAAATATAAAATCAACACATCATAATCCCAATCTCATACCACCTCATTCACCACTTTCATTTTCACAATCATCCTTATCAACCCTCGTCACTTCACTCATCATTTTATACCACATATCTCCATTCCACATTTATATTTACCTTTACATTACCACATGGGGCAAGACATTCAATTCCATACCACATAGGGTAAGACATTCACAATACCACGTAGGGCAAGTCATTCTTATTACCACGTAGGGCAAGTCAT